TTATGGTTATCGATAAAACTCGGGAACAGAATGAAGGAAGATATAGATGTGGCTTCCATATGTTTATTAAAATAAAATAATTATATGTACCTATATAAACACCGTAGCACAGTTATTATCTACATAGTGTTATCAATAGCCACACAATACAGTTATATTATATTTATTATTTACAATGAACAAAGAAAAAGTTTTGTTAGAAAATTTAATAGCATCAAAAAAAAATATTAAACGAAAAATCATGGAAATGAAACGTGGGGTTATAGATTCTGACAAATATTTCCGAGAGGCATTTAAACCAATAATCGAACCACTGTGTGCACTGTGCACGAACAGAAAAAAATACATTATGCAACTCACAGCCGACTGAACTAAAAAATACAGAGGCCCTATTTGAAAGTGATAACGATAATGGTGATGAATTAAATTTATCATTTGAGAATTTTTTGGATAATAAAAGTCCTAAATCAATTTGATATGATAATTCCTATGGTATGCATTATGATAAAACCAGTATTCATATAAAATAGGAAAACACCCTCTAACTTTTAGCCATGGTAACTTAGTACTGCTTAATACATTCTATCCATGGACTATGGGGCTAAAGTCTTTATTATGCGAGAAGGAACCAAAAAATATGACCGTGGAAGATATAGAAAATTATTACAACATTTTGAAAACTACTGGGGTTCATTTAAAAGAAGATGGAAAACCTAAAACGTCAAGGTTTCATAAGTTGGCAGTCGTTGTAAAACCCCTGTATGATCGAATGAAATATGAGGAAAAACAGTTAAACGAAGAAATAGCGAAAATTAATAACACTAAGGTTCCACGAATTAACTTTTCTCCATTTAACACTCATTTTTCTAGGGTATGCGCTAAACGTAGTAACGTCCATAACAATACAACCATAGAACCATTTGAATTTCAATCAGAAGCAGACAGTTCTATGACTTCAAATCCCGTAGTGGAAGAAATGTTTACTTTTACTTCAACACCTCAGACTAAACAAGGTTCTGGTTTATATAAAGATGTTATACCTCAAACACAATTAGTTTATTATGACGATCCGAATGATCTAGTAACTAGGTTAAATCTTTTAACGTCATCAAAAAGTGCTGGAAATACTGGTCTTAATAACGAAATTATATCCATTTTAGAAGAACTACGCGAGAGAAATATTATAGTGTAATGTCAACCTTAGATAATATAGCTAATGAACTACATCGACCAGCAAGAAAAATATTTCCTAGGCGATGTGTGATAACACGGTTTATTGATGATCTCTGGCAACCTGATTTAATGGATATGCAATCCCACTCTAAAAAAAATCATGGTTTTAGATATATTCTAGTTGTTATAGATACGTATTCAAAATATATTTGGATTGAGTCACTGAAAAATAAGTCTGGTGAAGATTGTACAAAAGCCATGTCTAATATATTAAAAAAAGCTAAACCAAAATTGCTGCAGACAGATAATGGCACAGAATTTTATAATATTCAATTTCAAGATTTGATGAAAAAATA